ATGGAAATATAAGAGAAGATAGATGTAATCTAGAAGGCAGAGGAAGAGAGAAGACAACAGAGAAAGCCATAGAATAATCAGTCAAAAACGGGAAGAAAACGTGAGAAATGAGAGAGGGCTAAAAAGACAGCGAGGGACAAAGTCTTTGAAGTACTATGACATTGTTTGGCTGGTAAGTTCTCGGGCATTGTACATGTCACTGTAACAACTGGTGTCCGCCTTCTAAGTGATAGTACTAAGTACACTGTACAGTGATAGTACTAAGTCTAGGATGGTTGGTGGGGCCCCTACCTCTTTCTAACGTCAGTTCCCACACTGTGCACTCTAGGATTTCCCCTGCAGGGAGTTCCCTGAGCACTGCATGCAGTTTCTAGGCACCTTGCTCTTCTCAGCCTGAACACCCCTACTTCATCTGTACCCCCCAATTCTTCAGCAAATTCTCCCGTATCATTCCAGATTCTGCAGGGAGCATCGTCTCCTAAAATACACATGTAGGCACTCCCTAATGTTTTCTCATTTCACTTCTGAGCTGCCTTTTAAAAAGCTAACTGAAACCTCTTAAAGAGAACTTATCCGTAAGACTCAGGAGATCTGTTTTCTCCCTATTTGTAATTCTCTCTCTGAAATATTTTGAATATTGTTTTAAAGGATGTGCTGTGTGTGTGCATGTATGTGTACTTAGTGTTTACTCCTAGCTGTTTTTAACTCACTACATAAGGAACTCTGGAAGATCAAACCACATTTCTTAATGGAACTAAACTTTTATGCCTTCCGATTATATTGTAATCATTCAACCAAAGAAGATACTGATGAAACAGAATCAGATTATTTCTTCACAGGATATAAAATAAAGAATCATAAAATTAATCTGACAAGAATTTGGATGGAACTCTTCTTCTTCCCTATTACATTTATCTGCAACTATTACATTTATCTGCAACTACTGACCTTAGATAAAGTACTGACCTTAAATAAAAGTATTGACCTTAGAGGCGCCTGGGTGGCTCAGTTGGTGAAGTGTCTGACTCTTGGTTTTGGCTCAGGTCATGATCTCAGGGTCCTGGGATCGAGCCCCATAACGGGCTCCTGCGGGGCTCTGCACTCAGTGGGGAATCTGCTTAAGGATTCTCTCACTCTCCCTCTGCCCTGCTCCCCCACCCCCACTCACTCTCGCACGCTCTCTCTCTCTTTAAAAGCAATCAGTCAATCAATCAATCAATCTTTTTTTTTTTTAAGTACTGACCTTAAATAAAAATCCAAAGAACATCTAGTTGTGGGGAAAGAAAAATTCTTTTCTATAACGTATTCTTTTATTTCCTTTCTTTTTATTTTTTAGTTTCGATATTCTGACTGGCAGGATAAATTATTGATGTCCCTGGGCACCATCATGGCCATAGCTCACGGATCAGGTCTCCCCCTCATGATGATAGTATTTGGACAAATGACCGACAAATTTGTTCATACTGCAGGAAACCTCTCCTTTCCAGGTAAGCATTTGTGTATTTAAAAAAACAAACAAACATACATTGTACTCCTTTAACTGGATGAAAGATCAGAAGTTGATTTTGCTCTTTCTCATCAACTTGTTTAATGGTTTGCACTTCTGACTGACTCCAGATATCACTGAAGAAGTTATAAAATTCTCAGAAAATTCCTTGAATCCTCATTTAAATTTCAACAACTAGATCTCTCCTGTTTGACTTTTAATACAGAGTAAGGGAATGTACAGAAAGCTTTGCATCTAAATAAAGCAGGGAAATCCCTCTACTTGAGGACAGTGGAACTATAATCTGAATATATCTATGCAATGTCCATCCCTTTGGTGATTACGGACACATTTCAAAATACTTCAGTTAGTATGGCCCTACTTCTTAGCTATACTCAGCTTGTAAATCTGTTGCTGGTTTTCTTTTTCTTTTCTCTCCCCGCACGCTTTTTGTAAAAATTCTCTCCATCTTCTGTCTCTAATTTGTGGATCAACCAGGTTGACTGGAACTTGATCTAACACTTCACTAAAGAGTGAATGGTTTCAACGTGAGAATGATGTGTTTCGAAACTCACACAGAGGAATGTGATTACTGAAGAGTCAAAGGAGTCCCATAAGTTAATGTCATCTGTAAGAGGGACTGTGGCAACAGCCCTGGAGTCAGGTTCCAGTGGACAGAGTTATTTTCATAGTAGCCAGATTCAACAGTGAAAGTGAAATCTTGATGCTTTCTACCAAGCCTGATGGCTCAGTTCTTCCCAAGAGATTTTGGGGGCACTAGGCTGGAGAAGATTGAGTGAAGCTTTATTAGCACACAGATGGTGGAATATAAGGGGAAAAGCAACTGATAAAGGAAAGGCAGCTTACATAGCAAAGATCCCTGAGAAAAAGTGGACTCTGTCATTCAGATCAGGAAGGAGTTCTCAGTGTTTGCTGATTCAGAACTATGTATTTGGTTAGCACTGCAGAGCTTAAGTGTTATTACCTAAGAGAATAGGATTGCTTGATTTATACAATAGGATCTGTTTACATAAACATTAATATCTTTTAGAAATCTAGTAAAAGTGCCTTTTTATTTTTATTTTTTTTATTAAAGATTTTATTTATTTGTCAGTGAGCGAGAGAGAGAGCGCACAAGCAGGGGAAGCAGCAGCTAGAGAGAGAGGCTGGGATCGCAGAGGGGACTCTGGGATCATGACCTGAGCCGAAGGCAGACACTTAACCAACTGAGCCACCCAGGTGCCCCTAAAGAATAAACTTAAATAAACATCATCTCTATGAGATGAGCAAGTGAGCTCTGCTAAGGCTAAGTACAGCTAAGTACCTGATCTTCTCTCAACTTCCATGATTTTTGCTAAACCCTAGAACTCTCAACATACCAGCAAGCTCTCTGGATTTAGACTGAGTCTGAAATTTAAAGATTTCACTTTCTCCAAAGAGGAATGACAATATTATCTTTACAAACTACTAAAGAGTGGACATTGGAAATTAATAACATTTGAGGGACTTCCCATCGCAAATTCTCTATGACAGCCTATAAGCCTAATCACAAATGTGGCTATAGAAGAGCAACAGGCGTTTCATCTGGAAGCTATAGAAAGTAAGCTGGCAACTCTGGGGAGTTTATCACCCCAGCAGTCACAGGTTTTTAAGTGACTGGTTCATGCCATTCCCCGGAGAGACCTTGAATTTGGCCCTGGGCACAGCACATGGCACCGTCTGCCATGCCCAGCTTCAAAGCTATTTGCTTGCATAATTACAAACAAGTGAAAAAACAAAGAAACTGTTCCAAATAAGAAAGTTGTGGAAGTAGTCTGGTGTTAATGAAAACAAAAACAGGACTGATAAAATTGGTCCAAACACTAACTCATCTGTGCGAAATGTGTGGCATTATTTTAACTTCATTTAAAAAAAAAAACTTAGTCAAGATAAAATACATAACAAAATTTACCATCTTAACCATTTTTAAGTATACAGTTTGGTAGTGTTAAGTATATTCACACTGTTGTACAATCAATCTCCAGAATTTTTTCATCTTGTAAAACTGAAACTCTGTGACCATCAAACCAGCAGCCCTGCATCAGTCTCCGCACTCAGCACGGAATCTGCTTGTCCCTCTCCCTCTCCCTCTCCCATCTTGTTCTCTCTCTCTCTCTCAAATAAATAAATACAAATCTTTTTAAAAAGGCACTTTTGGGACACCTGAGTGGCTCAGTCAGTTAAGCATCTGCCTTCGGCTCAGGTCATGATCGCAGGGTCCTGGGATCGAGTCCCGCATCGGGCTCCCTGCTCTGTGGGGAGCCTGCTTCTCCCTCTGCTGTGCTCTCTCTCTATCTCTCTCAAATAAATAAATAAAAATCTTTTTTAAAAAGTCTATTCTTTAGAATTGTTGGACTCTTGGACAGTTGGACTTAATGGGAGTCAAATAGGCAGGGAATGTTAAAAGAAAACAAGGTTTAAATTACAGGAGGGTTTGACAGTGAACGATTGTGAAGGGAGCACATCGTGTCAACAGAATAAAGCTCAGTGACCAGGTTTGTTCCCTCACGATGACTCAGCTGTGCAGAAACTATGCACATTCTGCATCCAAAACCTCAAGGACAGAGTCAGAGGAGACATTTTTTATGCAGAGTATTAGGAACTTGATATATTTTATGTCAGGTCTATGTGACTGTAATGATCTAGAAAATTCTGTAGAGAAATCAGTACACCCTGCATGCCTTTGCATTGCTGCGTGGTTGAGAGGAAAAGGCATATTGGAGACCCCAGTTACCTTAACTAACTGTATGTACTGCCTGTGTACATGCACCAACACTTTGTTTTGTGCTGAATATTTCCGTATGATAAGAGAAGTTCTAGGCAGAATTGAGGAAGGCAGACATTGACTTGAGACTTAAACATGACAGGACTCTCTGTGTAATGTCTCGCTAGGTAATCCTTAAGATGTGCAGTTATTTAGACCCTTCACTTACCAGCTGTTTGACTTGGGCAAGTTACTTAACCTTGTCATTCTTACTATGCTCATCTTTGAAAGGTGATCATAGACTTACTGATAGAATTAAATGAGATGATTTATGTAAAGCGCTGGAAGATAGTAAATGATCAGTAAATATTGGGGAAAACTCACTGTGAAAACTTGGAAATGAAATGACCACTCTAAAATTCTGTTTCTTCATCCATAAAATGAATGAACTTTATGGGAGCTCTCTAAAATAAATGGGCAGCTTCAAGAATTCTCCATTTCCTTGTTCTGGGAGGCATTCAGGCAGAACAGAGTGAGAGTTCTCCATCCCAGCACATTAGCATCAAATGAGGATACTTTTTTAGTGCTCTAGACTCAGCCTGAGGTTCTGATTGAACTGTTCTTGCATGGAGCCTGGGCAACTGTATATTTTTCAAGCTCTTCCATGTCAGTCTAACAGGCACATAACATTGAGAACCCCTGAACCAGTTGACTTGGAGATTGTTTATGAAACTGAGGTATAACAGGTAGCATCTGAGAAGACCAGGCCGAGGCCCTTTCAAATCTAGAGTCCCATTCGATTCCCAGATCTAGAATTCCAGATCTAGAGCCCCATGAGATGTCTAGATCTAGAATCCTGTGAGATTTCCAGAGATTTCTAGATTCCACCTAGAATCCCAGGTCTAGAGTCACATGAGATTTCCTGGTCTAGAATTCCAGATCTAGAATCCCATGAGATTTTTTCTGACCTAGAATTTCAGATCTAGAGTCCCATAAGATTTCCTGGTCTA